AGGAAAGGAAGGGAAGGGATAGGGGGTAAGCAGCATGGATTAGAGGAAAGGAAGGGAAGGGATAGCGAGCAAGCAGCATGGATTAGAGGAGGAAAGAAAGGGAAGGGATAGGGGGTAAGCAGCATGGATTAGAGGAGGAAAGAAAGGGAAAAGAGGGAGAGAGATCAAAGAGAAGATGGATAAAAGGTTACTGAAAAATGGTGGAGAATGTTGGAGTTAGGTATGAGTGATGTATGTGAGAAAATTTGGAGATAGACAAGCAAAGGTGTCAGACAAGATGAACAGACAGTATAAGGGGAAGGTGACAAGAAAGGCATGACAGAAGGAAAGGAATCATTGAGTGTGAGAAGATTAGAACAAATGCAGTAGAGGATCAAATGGAAAGGATTCAAAGCAGATTCACAGAAGAAAGGAGGTCAAGGGACAGAAACCAGACACCGTTAGTATCATGTTGGGGTTGACACAGCAACACAAACAACTAAACAGTTTGTGGCACTGTCATCGGCCTAGTCGCTGTCCTCAATATTACTCTAATCACTGTGGGTTCAAATCTCTAGACAGAAGTTGTTGACAATGGTTAGACCAATCTCAGTGCAAGAACAATTGTTAGCAATGTCATACATGTAGCTTAACATTCAGAAAGCTAGTCTTTTCAGTGACAGGAAATTCAAAATACAGCACGGATAAAAACAACTATCAAACAACTATAAAAGGGCAAAATTACAAAAAAGACTTGGTATCAGGAACAAAAATTGTGCAAACAAGTGCAGCCTTCAGAGCAAATAAAAAAAACTACACAGCAATGGGTGAAATTAATGGTCTAGTGGCAGCAGTGCATTGTCTAGATTTGACTAAGCAGCTTTGTTACTTAAAAAGTTGTTTTGTATTGTTGCCATGAGTGGGGTTTCCAACGAGAACAAGACTGCAAGAAGTTAAATACTCCCTCTCAAGACTTCTACACAAGTTTATGGATTCTGTGAAGGAATTTGACAGTGGAAATCATGGGGATAACTTATCACACCCTCAGTATACTTGTCAGAGGTTTTATGTCCATGTTCTGAAATCATACTTAAATTCATTGACATGCAATGCAAACAGAATGTAACAAAACACTCTCTAGAGACATTACAATTGTCACTCAACAAAGGGACAAATTCACTATCTCTCCACCTAGATAGTGGTCTCTCTCCGTATGACCCCTGACCTGAGAGAGACTGCAGCGTCACAAGGGAATAGAAATACACAACAACAAGCTACTGAATTCATCAAATGCAAATGATATTGGTCATACGAATGACGTAAGCGTGCAAATGGCAAATTGCTAATGTTGTGGCTATATAAGGAACTCTCAAAGAGCTGGCTAATTGCGAGTTATTTGGCAATTTTCTTTTTACAAGGAAGCAACACACTAGCTGTATCTGTCTCACCGTTGCCATTGTTTGTCATCTCGGACTGTGGCTCTGACCATGGACAAATGAAAAAGGTCTCATTTGAATATATTTCCAAGATTTGCTTTTCATTTCATCAAGGAATCAACAGGTTAGCTGGTTGCAGATGTTATGGTGTGATATAAATTAACCTAGAGATGCCTTACCATGCCCAGTTGTTAAAATCATGATTTGCATAAAATTGAACAAAATATGAAATCACACATATCAATTTGGTATAAAAAAACCTTACTTGCTACAAATAACTTAATATCAGATGAAAGATAAAAAATTCTATAAAGAGTACCACATTGATATGGTGGATGACATAAATTCCTAATATTCTTTTGTTTGTTTTGTTTGCGAAGGGGGAGGGGCCTTTTTCCTCAAGTGTTTACCAACGCTCACCATTTGCATTCTTTGGTAACATTTCCATGGATTCCATCCCGTCCAAATCTTGGGACAGGAGGTTGTATCTTCGCCTTCTCTTCACCTTCCTACGGCTCCTGTTCAAATATACATGCAAAATGTATCATGAATAGGCTGATAGTGTGAATGATATTTTGGTACATGTTAAGCACTGCATCGGTCACGTTGGCATAGGCCATTTTAAATGGCTTAAGCCAAGTTCCAATGGCAAATAAAACTAAGCCACAGCCATGAAATACTAGCTTTAGACATAGCCTTTACCTACCTCTTTATACAGTATATGCACAGCCAACAAAGCCCGACTAATGCTATGGCTTCTCCACAGGCTGCAATGATGACATACAATATACTCCAATCTGAAATTTCAAACAAATTAGAGATTATCTCCCTTTCCACACCTCATCTCTCAAATCTCCTGACAAAGCAGCAAAATCATGAATACCTGAAGAGCTACTTTTTCAATTTCTAATCATTACAAACTGCAAGTATGTAGAATTTTACACAAACCTCTAGAAAACCCTACGCAGATGGTACAATGTACAGTGTTACATGTATCCAAGATAAACTTTTTCTGACAATTAAACTAAGGTATGGAATCAAGTACCTTAAAGGTTTTTGGTCAGGTAACTGATATCTAAGTAGTCAGCACAGCCATTTACAAGATCATACATAGTTTCACCCACCACAATTGCTCTCCCTGTCTCCCATCCACCGTCGGACATAGTTCTCCATCCAGAAGCTCTCACAGATGCACATCTTGGTGAAGGGATCACATTTGCCATGACCCGAACAATTCTTCTGACAAACTGCAGGAAAGCAGCAACACAATGAATGAGAGAAATCAGTTCAGATTTCGGCCAAAGAAACAATTTTGTTACAGTTTAGTTGGTAACCCTTTTCCCCAAGGAGTCTAACCTCCACTCTGCTCTTACCAATTCTACTAAAGTGTTCCCAAACACTTCACACAACAGTATCAGAGATATCTTACTCATTGTGTCCAGCTCTAGAACCTTGAACTTGAGCAAGTCCATCTCACCGGAGAGTTTCTTCTTGGACAGTATTTTGACCACCCTCGGGCCGGGCATGGCAGTGCTGGTTGTGGCGTTGTTTGCATAGAACATAACTTGAAGCCTGTAATAGCAAAAAAAAACAAAAACCCGTTCAACACCTTTGCCTACTCAGGTTGGAAGGAAACGGTCATTTATAATGAGTTTTGTAGGACTTACTGCTCATTTGGCGTTTGGTACACTTGCTGAATGACAACATCTTCATCCCGAACGGACAACAGAACAGCTAAGGACCGTGCCATGTCAATCTGGAAAAGTAAATAAAAGGACACCAGCTAACAAGGGATACCAGCTAGGTAAAAAAAGGGCATTGACAACCAAATGAAGTATTTTTAAAAAGCCACATCGAATTATCATACCTTGTTTCTTTGCCTATCAAATACATGTCTTCCCTTGTGTGGAAATTTATCTAATTTCAGCCTTGCTGTCAACTTTTATACAATAATCTCAAAGCCACCCACCCTGTTTTGGTATGTGAATTTTGACACTTCAACGTCAAAAGTTAACACCACTAAGTTCAACCTGTGCGAGTCTGAAAGAGAAAAGAAGATACAACTTGTTTGAAAGACAGAAACACAGTATAAAAATATTTCAATCAAAACTTGACGGAACGTTTACTCTACCATGACACCACCTCATTTGAAAAGACTGCCAATGACAAGATTTTGGTCTACAAAACCAATATTGGGTTTTCACAGTTACAGAAACTTAACCTGAGTTTTGTCAGTAGATTACATTTCTAATCTGAAGCTACAAGAAAACAGTTTGGAAAATGGCCTAGATCAGGCTGTGTTTGTAATGGCTATGACTAGGAATACAACGTGTCTGTGTCAGGGATGAGATTGGAGGAGTGAGATAAACCTGAAACTGTGAGCGCGAAGCCAAAACGGCGTGGGATTCGGGGCCCACTTAGGGCCCTGGAAAATGTTAAAGTCTAGATGCTCTTGTGGTGCGTTCTAATCCTCTCTGGGGCATGTTTTAACATGTTTAAGCAAAAATATTTTGAAATTACTGCCCTTTATGAAGTTAACTTTGTATTGTACTTTTAGCAACTGTGGACAAATTGAACATTAATATTTCTAATTCCATTTTGTTTAAGCATCTCAGTCCACTCTTGAGAAAAATGTGAACTTTTTTCAGTTGGTTTTGCTCAAAATGTGTTCCACTAAAACAAAACAGGACTTGAAGTCATCATTGCAGAAAGTGCAGGGCACTTTTTCCGTAATTGCTGGTTTAACAAAACACTGGCTTAACTGCACTTTCAGGCCGTCCGCCATGACATGCTCTTCCAACCAATTCCATTTAAATTTACTGGTGACATGTTTTTCTAGCTCTCTTGCAGACAAGTCTCCTTTTGAGAGAATTTTCCTGTTGAACTTGCAGAGCGACATGGTGGCTCTGACGCCGTACACTGTACACACGTGTACAGTACGAATGTGCACACGTAAAATCATGCTAGTCTGATCCTCAAACAAGTGAATTACGTTACCAATACCGCATTCAACGTCTGCAGGAACTAGACTAAATAGAGCGGTTCACATATCGAGCCCAGAATGCAACGTGGATGTACGCATACCACAATGTGAACTGTACTAGTCCTGCCAACGTGCACACCAACACTGAGAATGTGTCTCTTTGGGAGAAGCCTGCAGCCAACGGATCATGCATGTGTTGCCATCGTTCTCATGTGTGTGTAGTAAAATTGTGTGCGTACGGTTTACACAGCGGTGTGCGTACAG